CCTATGTGTTGTTAAGGTGAGTTAGTAACGATCTTTATGATATATGGCTTATGAATAGATTGCTGGCTTATTAGATTGACAATTTGGAATCTTGTGGAAATACTGCGTCACGTGGACCGTCAGCCCAAATTGCTTCGTGCACAGTATCCCAATTCCTACTTGAAGTTGCCGCTGCTTAAATTTGAGATGCTGAACATGAGGGCCGCGGCACCAGAACTCTACGAGGAGAACAGTTGAGTGAAGAAGACCTTTATGTAAATGGTTCTTAAACTTCTTCCTACAGTTGACAACATCATGCACATGGTGAAGCGCAAGATCTATAAATTGATGAAGGGCTATACTGTGGAGCTTCGCCGAGCCACCATCAAGCGTAATGTTGACGAATATCATGCTGATTACCTCGCCAGCCTCGACATGCTCGAACCCATTGATAACGACGAGCAGCAACAGGCAGCGCCCGAGGAGGATCTCCTCCAGGAGAACAAAACAATGGCCAATGTGCCCAATCGCAAGCAGATTAAGGCCCAGAGTGCCAAGCTTGTGGAGGAGTTATCCAAGCGAGATGAATAGAATTTGTTTTGATTTTTATTTATGTGTTTTTTGTTTATAGCAAGATAGAAATTTAAAGTAGTACCAAAAGCCGTTGCCCCAAATTTTGTTAAGTAAATGAAAGTGCCTCCAAATTTCAAATATTTCGGTGTCCTGATAGAAAAATGCAAATCAATTTCACATAATTGTTGTCTTCTTTTAGGCCATAATAAATAGCAGCGCAACAAAAGAGAAAAATGAATAAATCGTGAGCCGAACAATGGAAGCGCCTTCATATAATTGATCTGAAATTGCTGCAAACGTTTGCTTCACCTGGGGATCTCTTGGGTCGTTTCGGATCGGATTGCTTCAACTTTTGCCTTTTGACGACGACGACGACGACGCCCTGCAGTTTCGGTAGCTCTCGTTTGGCTGCCGCTGTTGCCAACCGTAAAAATAATGGCTAGGAAGAATTATTGTTCCATTGCCACATCACATAATTGGTGGGGAGGCTGGAGTTTTCTTTCGCTCTTCAGTTAGCTTTTCTCAGTTTGATTTGTGTGTTTGCTGTTTGCTGTTGGCCAAAAGTGTGATGATGGGACTGAGATAAATCTGTGGGGAGTTTTTGGAGGCTAACCTTCTATCAATTATTCCGCATTCGAATGCATCAATAGCCCATTAATCATTTCCTGGCCACTCCACAGCCAAAGCCACTTCCTCTCTGTGCTCGATCATACATTCAGGCCGCCGCAATCAAAAAGGTCAATCGTTGTCATAAAAATGTTACAACTTTATTCGACGGACGATGGATGGAAAATCATCACTGCTCCCCAAAAATGGAAGTTTTGACTGGAGATGGGTTTCATTTTCTGTCAGAGGAGTGCACACACGTTTTCAGTTCAATCTTTATGCATACATACATACATTGTGTAGGTATGTACCTGTTTCCTACCTGTCTGCCTATCTATCTCTATGGTTATATCTGCGTACACGATATCACGCCGCCGCAGCCACCGAAAAACCTGGGCACGGGAGCACGCGAGCCTCCATAAGCCTCTCACAAATGAGGGTTATGCAAGCCTTACATTACACTCGTGCCTCCCCACCATGTTTATTCATATCCACACTCGCATTCACTCGAACATATTCATGTGGTTTCATGCCGCCCCCCTCTTGGCAGACAAATTAGCCACTGGAAGTGTTTTGGTGATGATATTTTCGGGGGTCTGCCCTTAAAAGTTAATTTTGTGGTCAACTTTCGACACTTTGCAAATGAATGGGATTTGTCTTACAAATATTTTGATTCATTTTTGTGGCTGATTTGTTGGGTAAATAAAATGAAGATGATCAAATTGTTTAATTTGACGTTTAAATGTTGTTTAGAGTTCTCTAAATGTATTTCATAATGTATGCTCTTTCCTGTATAATTCGATTAAAAAAACATTCATCAAATGATTACAATTAATCAGATGATCCCGGAAATATCGCACATCAATTAATCCCATTGATCAATGAGCATAATTATGGTCCAAAAAATATGAATTTGTTATGGGGGCTGCTGCTTAGCAAATATTTCGGTTAATTATCAAAAATCTGTTGTCTGTTGGAAAGTCAGGGGCGTCTCTTCTTACAGGAGCCAATCGAATGCCTTGCCTCATTTGGCCATCGTTAATCTTCATAACCGAAACAAATGCAATTGCCATTGCAGCTTTTAACTGTCTGTCGAGTAGTCAAAACCTATTTAACCCGCCACTTGGCACTCTTGCCCTGAAAAGCAACGATGAAGCTGGAGCTCAAGCTGGAGCTCAAGCTGGAGCTGCAGTTCCTGTAGTCATCGCTCAAACGGTTGCAAGTTGCAACATTTCAAGAAGCCACAGCCCACCAGCATCAGAGGCAGCAGCAGCCACAAACGTTCGCTTAATAATTATGAACCTTCTTGGCTGTTGGCGGCAGTTTGTGTTTGAAATAATTCGTGGAGTAGCCCCGGTATCCATCCAGTATCCAACATCCAGCATCCTACTGCGATCCAACAGTCGTGGCAACAACAATTGGTAGTCAGTCAAGTTAACGCGGTCTGCGAAACTAGCCAATTTCTGTGAGCCGTTTTCTGCTGGCCCGAGTCGTGGCCAAAGGTTTTTCTCTCTTTGGTTTTTTCTTTTTGTACAATTTGTAAAACGAAGACGAACTACAGGGAGAAGCAGGAAGAAGGTTGTAGTGTGGCCGTAACGATATTCGAATGCTCTAACCCAAAAACTAAAGTATCTGTACAATTCTTAAGAGAATGGTAAGGTGAATTCCTTCAAGGAAAGTAGGCTTTAATTTCTGTCTTAATTTGTAGTTCCGTTGAGTGGCTAAGAGTTCCCTTTTGAAAGGGTATATAATGCAGGATTTACTGGCCATTGCATGGAGCACCCCCAGGAAATTATCTTGTCAATGGCTGGGCTTCAATTGCAGTCCAGCTATGGCCTGCGCTTTGGGGTCTCTATGGGGCCTGACTCTCTGACTTCAAACTCCGCCTGGAATGGACAGTAGCACGGACATGGGGGACTGGCAGTAGTTCCCTTTTTTCCATCGTTTTTAAGGTGTGTTCCTGCAAAGCGCATGATCTCAGCCATATTTCTTCTTCATTTGCTGGGATAATTTACATATGGTTATATAAGCAGCGAGCCGCAACAGGAGAAGCGAAGCAGCAGTATATACGAGTATCCATTGAAAAATTTCAACATGTTTTATTTAATTGCCAAAGGAAAAACGACAAAGAGAAAGAGACCCCTCAAATTGAGTACACATGTAAGAGTTAAAATCCAAACCAGCGAACCATCCATCCCGTCCATCCCATCCATCGATCCCCATGCAATTGGTAATTTCTTTTAGGGCCAAACGTTTTGTCTTCGGTCAATGGGTGCGTAGACAATTTCCTAACATGTTGCCCCAACAGCAGGGGCCTGCTCCAGCAATCATTAAATGAAGCTCAACCAATTGTCAATGCTTCTACAGAAATTATACAATATATAAATTGGTTTTGCTCCAGATAAATCTCTTCAAAATTAATTGGGGAGATATTGAATTCATGGCCAATTTGGGCTATTATATCACTAGTCTTTCACACCCATTTCTCTGGCCCAGAGACCGGCTTCAGAACAAAAGTGTTATAAATAAATCTGTGTCACTGGCAAAAGCCACAACACACAATAGACACAAGACGTTAAATTAATACACCTCAAATCATTCAAGATTATGCAATTTATAGGAGTAAATGAAAATATCAAACACGCAAGCAAAAACGATGCTAAAGAATAGCAAAAACAACAAAAAAAGCGCAAAAGACTTGAACAGAAAACTTGTTTCGGTTCTAAGTGTAGAACAAGTTTTTGGCGATTGGTAACTTTCCCACTGTCCCACTGAAGAGTTTTAGGACCAACTGTGGAACTGTAAATTTACGTGGCATGCACACTGTAATAATGTCATCTTTCTAATTAAATGAGCTTCATAAATATTCAACCGAAAAAAGAGAATCATAGATAAGCAGAACTTCTCTTCCTTTTGTGAGTCGGCAAAATGTTTCGTGCTGCGATGCCATTAAGTCTGGGGCTCTGGGGTTTTGAAATCACTCTCTATAAATATGGATTTCTCAAGAGCTCTGCGCCTGTGAAAGAGTGTCAGCATAATAACAGATTATTTTAATTAATTTCCAAAAAGACAAAAGCGCACGCCCACATGCCAATGGCAAAACAAATGCCCAAAAACAAGAAGTACGATTATCTTTGCTTTGTGTTAGGAATATAGTAATCATGCAATTGTTTGCCTAGTTCTAAGTTCTATGCCAGCTGCCGTTGCGTCTATGCAAATGTTCCTTATGCTTATCTCTATATAATTATACGAGTACTCGTACCAGCTGCAGTTGGAGTTGCAGTTATCGGGGAACATGGCTCGACCTTAGACAACCTTAGAGGCATGCCCATGCCCAGGCCCCACCCTCGACTTGCCCTTCAGGCCTCTCTCACTGCAATTGTTCAGTTAGGCAAACATTATACACTTCATTTCATTTGGGTTGCCTTTAGACATGGCGTCTCCCTCAATGCCTCAATTAAACCATCTTGCGCATGCGCAACTACTGTTTTGTGGCTTTTTGTTTTTCTTTTGCTTTGGCATTGCTTTAAGATGCCTATCACAGCCTCCCCTCCCTCCCCAACACTTACACGTCGATCTACAATTTTCGAGATCCAAGATAGCACAATTTCGGGTTCCTTCGGCATTGAGGAGCCATCAAGTCGTGAATCAGTTAAAAGTTCTCGCAAAAATAATTGAAAGGTTCCTCCGCTCGAGTACTTGAAGCAATTACCAGGTCTGACAATGGCTTCATTTGCATGGGGGGCCATGATATGAGGAAGTGTCTAACTTTATGTCCGTGTGAACAATATTTTTGAGCACAGAAATGAAACAAAAAATTTTTTAGTATTTAAATCTCTTATTATTACACAAGAAGTGTTTGTGTAGAAAGATTAAGTACAATCCGTGAAGTTTGGGCCATTAGCTCTTGTTGTTTCATAGTTTTTGGTGTATTATTCTATTTTTTTGTGTGAGCCTTCGACCACGTCATGCAGCGGTCCTTTACTCTGGAATGAGTCGATTGCACGAAACTATAGGTGGTAGACCCAATAGTTCGGAGCTTGGCGAACTTCATCGAATGTGTACATCTTTCATGTGTGCGGGCTCTGCGGTTTTAATTTGTTTGGTCTAATTTTATGGTATTTGGTTTGGAGTCCAACACATTGTCTTCAGCTAATCGGCCGAGTATGTAACGTCTGAATAGGTCTGAAAAGGTCGTAAGGCTCAAATTTGATGTGGTATTACCAATGGACTACTCACCCATTAATCTGCTCGATGGCATCGATTCCACTTGATTGATAGCAGGATCCGTATCCACACGTAGATCGTCCTGAGGCGACTTCACTTGTGGCTGCTCCTCTACTTGTGGCAATTGCGTTTTCGTTTCCAAAGCGTACTGGTGCTGTTCCGTATCTTTCTTTGGCTCCTCTGCCATTTCTGGGGACAGGTCTGGCTCCTGCGAGTTCCTACTGCGAAAGATGTACAGCTGAATCCATTGGCGAGGACGATAGCAGGGCTGCTCTGCAACCGTTGCAGTCTCCTGAAGCGGCATCACCGAACTGCTGAGCGGCCGCGGCCCATATTTCCACTCGTTACTATCGTCCAGCACAAAGAAGATGCCCCAACCGATGAGCAGGGCCGCAAAGATGATGATGAGGAAGCATAGAAAGTCCTGAAGGAGGCCTTTCAGGTATTCCGCACCGCCCTGCCGATTGTTCCCTTCAGGAGTTTGCCTTTCAGCCTTCGAAAGATCCATTGAGCAGGATAATTTTGAAAAGTATAAAAAGTTTTGTAAGTGTTTTAATTTTTAATTTTTTTTTTTTGTAGTTCCCTACAACTTTTTGATCTGACGATTATTCTCATGTGTACTGGTTTTCAAGTGGTGTTTTTTTTTATCACTGTAATTAATTTTCATTTTTTTCCCACAAAACTGTGTTTGTTTTCAGCCAAAAAATGTAAAGACCGAAAGACTGTTGACTGCTCGACAAACCAATTTGAATGACTGGAAAATGTAGTTCTCATTTGGTGTATAAACATGAGAAAGGATTACTAAAATCATGGCCTACTAAATATTTAGAAAAATGTTGCGGACTGCTTTGATTTTGGTCTCCTCATGATGGGCTCTCAACTTTCCCAAAGTCGATTGGAAATTGGTGTAATTGAAACTGTTTAACAGCACTTTGGTGCCCATCAACATGGCGTTGGATGTGATTGAATTATTGGACACTTAAATGGGCGGCAAAGTCGTAGGGAGACTCGACTCTTTAGCGCATTTATCCATTTGCACCTAGGGGCTTCGAGGCTTCGACTTCGACTGTGACTCTCTCCGCATTTCCATTCCTTCCATTTGTAGGAGGCTTCAACACATTTCCTCCGTTTTGGAGGAGCCTCAACACATCTCTGGCCATACACATCACTCACTCAGTCAGTGCTAATGAAGATGTTTCCCCCGAGAGACAGAAAGTGACTCTGAATCTGGCACTGGAACTGGCACTGGCACTGGCACTGGCACTGGCACTTCATTAGTCAGGAAGTGTTATACATGATGGAGCCGATGCATGGGACTGTAATTTGATTAGGGATTGGGTATACTTATTATATAAATGAGGAATGATTCAAGAAGTTAAGCAATGCAACTGTAGATTAATAAATTCGATTTCCTCCAATCTTTGGCTTGCAATCAATTAAATGGCCGCCACCAACTACTGCGTTATACAATCGCCCAGGCTGTAAATCTACTTTGTGTACTGATAAGACCCTCCTCCTCTCTCTCTCTCTCTGTCGCTCTCTCTTTGATATCTGACTCCCCCTTAAGCCAAAGAAAGAAAAACCTAAAGCTCAACAATGGCAAAGCGGCGGAGACATTACATAACCAGGCACAATAACCTACAAAAGCAGTCTCAGCCACCCAGCCACCCAGCCCCAACGCCCCCTCTCCCCGTGAAAACTAGTGAAAAATCAACGTAATACAGTTAACAGCTTCTAAGAGAAGAAAGAAACGAAAACACCGAGTTTTGTGTGTGTGTGTGTGTGTGTGTTTGTGTGTGGGAAATTACGACAACGACAAATAAATTACAAGCAAACGCTTAAGGTCAAGCGATTTGTGCAGAAAATGAGGCATATAGAAAACATATTGTGGAGATCGTTGGCTTTTTGATAACCAAAGAAATGAATAGGCCCAAGCGACTGGAGTCAACTGGAGTCGACTGTCGAGGAAACGTGGCTACCACAATTGCCGCGGGGTCAAATGGCGTTGAGAGGTAACGAGTCGAGTTAAATCATCGACTTTAACTTGGGAGTCAACACGTGCAGAGGGTTCCATGCCTCTGGCTACGAGTCTCTGAGTCTGAGTCTGTGTCTGAGTCTGGCTCTAGCTCCAAATCTAGTTGTGTGTCTATGGCTCTAGTTGTGGCTTTGGCATGGCAACCAGAATTGATTGCCACTTGAGAAGGCCATTTCGATGTCTTCGTACATATAAATCAAAAGAATATTTTTTTCAAATTGCAGTCCACGGTCTGCGGCTCGTCTTTGCTATGATTTAGGTGCCACGGATGGGCCGCAGACTTTTTTGTCTGACATTAGAGATCCGCCGCTCTATGGGGAGTGCCCTCGACAAGGTGTCAATTTGGCGTGCGAGGCATTTTACAATGATTTTCGGTAGTTGGCCATCAATTAAATTCGCATTAGACAGTCGATTATTCGGCGAGTATCCATCTACATATATAGAAGAATCCTATTAACTTTTGATTGACTGTGAAAAAGAACTATGAAAAAGTGATGAGCCATGGCTAACAATTGGGGATTTTCACGAATATCTATTGATGGTGGTCTTTGAATGCATACCATTTCGGGGTATTCCCGTTTTCCCCTTCGCTTGCGACCCTTTTCTTTGGTGAATGTCTAACCGGCCAATTTTATAACTCCTCGAAAATGTACTCTCATCTCCCAACTAGTTTCGGTTTTTTCGGCTTTTCGGTCTGTCGTGTCTTCATGCCTTCATGACTTCATTTCACCCACCACTAGTCGACGCTACCACAAGATTGTGTTAAAATTTTATTTTTGCATAATTGAAAAAATTTAACAACTTTAAGCAAACAAATTTTATGTTAACTGTTGAGCATTTTGTAATTTTGCTCGCGTGCACATTTCTTTTCGCTCTGCCTCTGACCCATTCCATTCCTTAACAAAAGCCAAAGCTAAGAAAAATCCCAACATTACAACGTGATTTCCGGAAGTTAAAGCGCAACAAAAGGCGCCTGCGCGACTGCGCGCCTGCGCAAATGTCGTCGCCGCTGCTGTCGAATTGATTGTTGGTCTCGGAGTGGTGCGGGAGTGGTGCAGGAGTGGTGGTGCCCTCTGCCGAAGAAGTTAAGGAAAGTCGTGCGACAACAGCTGCTGCCACGGCAGCCATCCTGCCTGCCTTTCGTGCGAATAATGTCATTTGTGTTTGTTTTATAACCAAATTTACAACAACTTGCCACAACATCAACTACCTACCACACAAAAAAAAAGAAGCTAAACATGCACTCAACATAATTGCATCCAATCCAAGTCAATGCTGTCAATGGAGGACCACTTCCAGAACTACCAGTGCCTATACCCTTTCAAAGAGCAATACCCAATCCCCCCATGCGAATCAATGACAGCTGGCAGCCTTCAACGGCAGAGACAGAGACCCCACACAGACGTCAGGGAAATTAGCTGACAGGAAAAGCAAGGCAACAAAAAAAACTTAGCTAAACCTTTTCTTTAAACAAACACCTGTCTGGCGGTTTTGCAATTCCCTTTAACAGATTGGCGTGATTTGAATTTTTGCAGTAGATGCTTCCTGAAAGAGTGAAAAAAGCATGGCTTAGAGAAATTCACTTTTAACAACAACTCTCGCCTTGGAACTTTCCCCTTAAAAACCATCCAAGGAAAGTTCTCTATGATCATCAATCATTCCGAAGGCAATTCTAGAATCTTCAACATCATCTTTCGGAAAGAAGAGGAAACATTGATTCAAAGAAGAACCTTTTCTTTAAACATTATTCTGTCTCTTTCAATAATCTTTCGCGAAAGAACTTTTACCTCATCTTTAAGAATAGAAGACCATCAAAAACTATGCCCAGAAATTGTGTAATCTTTCAGTTTCAAACAGATTCTTGTGTCAGCTGCCTTTGCGCTTTTTATATATGAAAGATCTTAAGAAAAAGTTAATTCCTTATTAATGGGTTTTCTTCTTTTGCCTTCTTACATAATAATTATAGAAATAAAGCTGTCAGTGGTAGCATAAATTAGTATTATAGAAAATAGAAAGGTTTCCTCTACCAAATGGTGTTTTTGCCCTCGCCACAGCAGCATCCATCCACACATTCGACCATTCTTTTGGCTAATTTTATGCCATGTCTTGTTGGATTTCATAAATCTTTCGGGCTGTGTGGCGAAATTTCGTCCCAGTGCCTAGTGTCTGGGGCATTAAATTAATGTTCTAGCATAAATTTATAATTCATGGCGAAAAACACTTCTATGGCGTTGTGGTTCTTTGTGCAAAATGATGTTTACCACGAGTTGAGGTCGACTTAATGACCTTTTTGGGGTACGTGTGAGACTTCTACTTATTAATTATATTATTGGCAGACGTTTTACAAATGCTTCACTGACGGTTGCCGTTGCCGCTAATTAAAGTTTAATATTTCATGCAATTTTTTGTCTAATTTTTATAAATTGTTCGGTAACCCGTTTTTGGTCCTTTTGGCCATTACTTTTTTCTACATTTGAAGGCCATTTGAATTATTTGAATACATATTCAGCAGAGTCGCAAATATTTTATGTTTTTATTTTCAGTTCTTGATATCTTTATAGCCAGCATTCACGCACTTCTCGGGCGACCGCTTGACCTTTCAATTAATCATGGCTAATATATTTATGTATGGGAGATTTTTCCAGTCTCCCCTTTGGGCTAACGGTAGCTTCTGCTGTCAAGACTTGTTTTTCATCTCTCGTTTATCTTAAAATTTTCACACCAAAAGTCAGGTTTTTATTTGAATATTTAAGCATTTATGTACGAGTATGTTGAATGTTGAAGCATGCTTAAAATGCAAATCGATTGGTGGATGTATAAATTAAGGTTTCTACTATTTTGCTAAAAGTTCAATCAACTTTGAAAGATAGTTTTCATTATGCAAACTGCAAACTTTCCTTTGAATAAAAAGAACCAACTCATTCGATCGTGTTGTATGCCCTTCAGCTAACTGATTGTATAATATTTTCTGATGAATAGAAAATGCGGAATTCGGTAAGCTCTCTCATAACCACACCACCCATTCACCATTCAAAAAATTAGAGCAGATAAATATTTGAAATACATTTTTTTCCATTACAGAAATCGATTTCCGAACAATAGCAACTCGAAAGCATCGCCACAAATGAAATAAAAATGAAATCAATATTTGCAATGACACAAATAAATAAAATCAAGAAACAATTTCTCTTGTCATCCCCGCAAAATGTTATCAATGGAGATCACTGGGTGAGTGGCACACACAGCACGGCGCTAATTGTAAATTATGGGGTCTCGAAATGGGAATTGGAATTGCTACCGTGCTGTGGTCTGGTCTGCTATCGAATGACATTTTGCTTCGATATATAAAATTGCGTATTAATCGTCATCCCAGCATGAGGGCACACAATGGATATTGCTGCAGCTTTCTTTCAGCAAATCAAAGGCAAACAATTGGATTCCCTGCAGCCACAAATCAAATGCTCGTAATCGTAACAAAGAGCAATCGTTGGATCGCATTAGCCACAATTGTTTGGGCCTTCTTTTTTTGGGAGCGGTTGCAACAGTTGGCCCACACACACATGATGTTGATGGTGCCCTGGGGCACCACCACTTCCGACAAGTCATCCAGATATGTACTTCTCAGTTGATAATCAGAAAACGGCTAATTGCAGTAGTCGTCTCTGCATTTGCACTTAACAAAGTGCAGCTAAAAATGGAAAATTGTTACAAATTTCCGCTTGTCAGTAGGGGCCCCCGTTCCCATTTTCCAGAGTGACAGAAAAACGTGTGAAAATTATGAAATTGCATTTTGATGAAACCTCTATTCGGTTAAGTGGATGGATGGCTGGACGGAGCTCCCGAAATATGAGCTCTTCTCCCCAGCCCAAAATGTGAGCATTTGTCTGTGCCTTTGTGGATTTTTGTGGGCCTGAGGTCTGCGGCCCATTTTGAAGTCTCTGCGGCTTTGTCTGGATATCTGAGGGAGATCTGAGATTTGTGTGTCCTGTCATAAAGATCAAATTTTCTTTTCTTTTGAGCACAACTCTCAGCCGCTTAATTTGCGCTGAAAATGCAGAGTACCAGCAAAAGAAGTAATTTTTGTTGTTGGTGAATTTATGAGTCATTGTTTGAATGTTTGGCTTTCGGACTACAGTCTTTTATCTTCTACGATTTCGCGAGTTCATTAATTCTGCCTCAACGCAGGGAAAATAGATAGGGAAAGAGTTTTCCTTTAAATATTTGCTTGTTATATACTGCCCATAAAACAGGATGAAAGCAATGCCTCGATTTCATTGATTTATTATCCGTAATTGAATCAACTAATAATAACAACCTACTTAGACCTATTTCACGTATTTCACTTTGAGCTCATATCAATCACAAGATCACAGACCCGATAGACTTTCTCCCTAACAAAATTAAATTTCTATTTACAAAATATACCCAGATGATCCCGCAGACAATCAAAGCAAAACCAACTCAAACCGAGTACTCCAAAATTGAATTAAGTTCAAGAGTTCAGGATGAGCAGCCACAAATTGTCGAGTCTCTTATGTAATGGCTTTGCAACAAAAGGCAGGCAAACAGTTTTGGCGTGGCCGGAGGTTGATGTCGAGACATCATTGATTTTCACACGACAACAATCGGCATCAGTGCGTCATGGAGCGGCCTTTGGTCTCCGGCAGATAGAGTCCCAAGACAATGAAACCAAACAGGCACATGCCCGACGACATGAACATGGTGGCGGGCAGGCCCTCATCGTAGATCATGGTGGGATAGATCTTCAGCGCGATGAAGATGAAGGCACTGAACGTGGCCATGCTCAAAGAGGTGCCAATGGAGCGGATCTAAAAAGGATTAAATGTCAATATAAACACTTTCCACGGCATCAACTTGCAGCCTACCTTTGCTGGCAACAGCTCTATGATAATGATAAAGATCAGGGCTATAACACCCACCGATGCAATGACTGCCACGAAGCACATCACCACCAGCGGCAGCCAGCCATTCTCCTCCAGAAACTCCGGTGTGCAGCAAATCTTCAGCAGGGCAATGGCCAGCTCTCCCAGACCCATGCCAGCCATCGAAGTGAGCAGCAGCACACGACGTCCCAGGCGATCCACCAGGACAACGGCACAGAGTATGCCAAACAGTTGGGCAGCCCCCACCACAATGGTGCAGGTATTCGGATCCAATTTGTTGCCCAGCTCCGCAAAGATGTGCGATGTGTAGTTGAAGATGGCGAAGCTGCCCGACAACTGATTACAGATGATCAGCACAAAGATCAGGCCGAATATCTTTATGGTAGGCACATTGACTGCAGAAAGATAGTTGGAGCATGTTCAGCGGAGTCTCCCCCATAAATTAGAGATAATATCACTCACAGAAATCTCTCCAGGTAATGCTCTGTGTGACGCCGCCACTGAGAACTTGGATACGGAACGTGTCAAATTCCATTTCAGCAGCATCATGGTGTGCCACCTCCATATTTGTGGCGGCTGGTGGCGTGAGGTTCTTGTAGAAGTAGTAAGATCTTTCAGCTTCCCCATCACGACCATGCCTCAGCAGATATTGGGGCGTCTCGCGGAGTCCAATGACTGACACCATAAATATCACAGGAAGGGCGACGATAATGCAAGGCATCAGATAGTACGAGAGATAGGAGGCTAGTGCAAAACCTATCATCATTCCCATGCTAACGTACATCATGGCCATGGATGATAAAGCACCACGAACGCTGAAAAGAGTTAAAGCGGAAGCTTCCATTAAGAGCTATAGAATAATTTTTGACTTCTTTGCAAATCAGCAGTAATCCCCGATTTCTGGGTTTTTCTATAAATGTCATAACTGTAATACACAAATAGGAAGAATTTCTCCGAAGCACTTCAATCTAATCACTTCAAGTAGACAAACGTTAGCCGGTATTGCTGGAGCTGATGTCTTTATCGTCTGCACGTAATACTTGAACTAATCAACAGCCACTGATTACCAATAAATCATATATTATAATTCCTCCTGGGCACACTTTTTTACTTTTACTTACTCATTGTCGGCAATTTCTGCAATAAATATTGGTAGGACAACATAAACACCGCCGCCTGACATGCCAGCGAGAAATCGTCCCGCATATAAATAGGTTACGTCTTGGGCTGTATAGATAAGGATCCAATATACCTAGAAAGAAAGAGAAATTAATGTGAATCAGACCTTGAGGAAACCCCCTCCATAGAGTGCTTTATCAGCTCGTACTCATACCATATTGGGAATTGCCAGAATATACATGCACATTTTCCTTCCTATACGATCGAGTAGCAGTCCAAAGATTATATTGCCCGACAGAGAGCCCAGACCGATCAAAGAGCCAACCCTATAGAATATAGTACTATATAGAATGCAGCCCTCTTTGGTTCACAGTAATCCACATACCAAGAGGCCTGAACAATGGTTAAAGGTGGTCCTAGGGGACTATTTTCGGAGCCCAGAAGTCTCAAAGATGGCGACAGCCAGCCCACCGCAAGGCCGTGCGTCAGCGTCATTATATGCACTAAGCGTTATAGTTAGTTATTGATTAGTGCGTGTTTTTGATGGACAACCGAATAGATTTACCCACCCGTCATTGTGGCAATAAGCTGCCATCGATAGCGCGCACTGAATATACTAATTTTCTTCGGTGGAACTTCATTCAAAATCATTTTGTGTCTTTTAATAGCACTTCACTTTATTTATAATGGGTAATGTACTTGGTAAGGCTGCCGTTTGCCTACTGAGAGCTTCCACCGCTGGTTGCAGACGCTTTTGTAGTGAAAATCACATCCAGATATGTACTACCTCAATCGCTTTGGTGATGTAAACACTCTTATAATGATTATAAAATTATTCAAGATTAGATTGTGGCAGAGGCCTCCTCAAATTTGTTGCATGCTGATTAATACACTACACATATTGCTTTGGAGGAGGTCCAAGTGGTAGTTTTAGTTAGCAACGCGGAATTTTAAGAGAAGAAAACTAAGTATACAATATATCAAGCAAAATGCGTGATTTTTGGCAATTTTTTTATAGCTACACTCAACTATGTTCTGGTTTTGATAAGAAAATGTAAATTTGTATAGCTTTTGACTAAATTTAAGCAAAGATTAGCAAAGTCATTGTTTGAGGGTCATAAAGTTGTAAAAATTAATCAGGTTAAACAGTGGATTTGATTGTATTAAGACGTTTGTTTGCGAGATTAAACAAAGTAATTTAGTTTTCACTTTTAAAGCGCTACGGAGAGAGAGAGAGAGGATTCGCGTGTTTAAAATCAAAATTTTCATTAGATTAATAAACTTTCGAATTCAATTAAAGTTCAATAATAATACTTCACATATGATACTGGTTGTTGGTAAAGCCTCTTTGATCTGTAGAGCATTTTGACACCTGTTTAATGCCACTTCAAGTAATCTTCGATAAGATTTACAGATCATAAAACCAGCTACCAACCTTTTATCTAATATGCAAATAACAAATAACTAACTAATATATCAGAGGTGATGCTCTACCTTGATGCTGGCTAAGATTCTGACACCTAGGCGTTTTTAGAGCATATTTCATGAGGTTTTGAAACTAGCAAAGGTTTTATCTTTTAACAATTAAGTTGTTTGCCTTCCGCAGAGTGATTATCAAGCAGCAATTTAACATGTTTCATCATAAAAGGAAAAAAGAAAATAGAAAACCCGAGACGGAACAGCATGACAACAAGTTGACGATGGGCTTTGCGGAGAGGTCTCTGGAGTGGGCCCCAATCAGCGATCGTGTCACAATAAATGATTTTCCAGTGATCAAGTTATTATCTGGCAGTTCCCTGGCCCCAGTCGGTCTCTCATCGACTGTCTTCTCGGAGTCGTAGTCTCGGCTGCTTATATCGATCGATAATGATGGGTTCCTGTGCTACCAACTCTCGGCAAACTCTTACATAAATCTTCGGTTGCATCGAGCGGAGGCTGTGCTGGTGCCGATGCTGGTGCTGTGCCCCTGCCTCATCGTGATTCCTTGTGGAGGAGACGTCTGTATTCGTGGCTGGAGTTGTGCACGGTCGGAGGTCATGCCCTCGGGTTTGTTGTGCAGTTTGTAAAATGCTCAATAAAAAAAAAATCAAATTTTTTCTGTGTCATTTGCATTTGCCTTTGCATTTGCAAGCCGTGACCATATTATATTATCGTATCCCCTCGTCTGTGGATCTTTGACACAGCCAAGACAATGAATGCATCACCACCCTCGTACGGATGATAGTAGCTTCTCTGGTGGCCAAAATCCTCCCGGCCTGTATTTCATCATTAGCACACAATTGTTGTTTTATAATTCCAAATGCTAAGATATCACTTTGGGTTGTTCAGCTGTCGTTTGAGATAGATTGCACGCCTCTAACAGACTAGTGGCGCGGGTTCTTTGGCATTGAAATCACTTTTCACTCGTTTATCTTACGAGTATACTTGTTTTTTGTTCACATTCCAGGTGGATGATGTGACAAAAAGTCGTGGAGTTTCCAGTTTTATTCTTGCCAATCGGAGAGATTTGGCTGTCAACTAACGATGCTGTATTGTCTGAATCATTGCAATTTATTTTTCGGGTTTTTATTGGTGAAATATATATCTTACGAAACATTAAAAAGAATTTAAGTAAAGTGGGAAGTTGGCTTAGAATTCGAAGAATTAGAGACCAACCTAATGGGATGTTTCTGACTCTAACATTATAAAAATAAAAAAAAAGTTCTCTGCCTCTTAGAAAGTCTGAGAAACCTTCAATAATTCTGAGATATGTACAAAAATGTTTTAAAAATTATAAAAAATGTTAAAAACATTCTGCTACACGAGAAACATTTATCAAAGCTACCCAAAAACACATAACCCCCGACCATTAATCATGGGGCTTATCTGTATCATTGATCTTGACAAATGTGGGTCGAGTGCAAAAGCACATTTGAAAATCAGCGTCCACGACAACATGCTCGTATAAGTAGAAGGGCCAGGAATGTTGGCTAACTCCCCAGAAGCATGCCTATATTTCAGCCAGCAAAATAGTTGAAATCCTACAAAAAATGAACAATAAATTCAACAAATTGCTGGTGCCACTGCAATGAACTCCAGTGAAGAAGCGGCATGCTGCAGCCAAGTGCTGAATGAATGACGGCATGAATGGATGAGTAATTGAAGGCAGCAAAGTATTGTTCTCATGCTGTGAGCACGTTGACAGTGTGCTGCTGCCACCCCGTGTGTGTGGGTGCAACATACCGTGGCGTATCTGGCAGAAACTTTCGGCAGCACAGCATGGGGGCCCGGGCCCGGGCCCGCTAGCCATGGCGAAAATCGCACGTTTCTATGCAAATCTTCTTCGCTTTTCAATCATCTACACGACTAGACCACGGTGGCTTCTGTTATTTCTTGTTATTTCTTTTCTTCTTCTTAGATTTTTGTTTTTTTTTTTTGGCTGTCTGGAGACGTTTTTGGTGGCCTGTAGGCAATAATTATCGCTTGCATTACGTATTTCGGCTGCTTCTCGCTTTTGTTTTCGGCTTTGGGTCTTTGGGGCTTTGGTGCTCTGTGGATGCTACGTCGGCTGTGTGGCAGTGTGGCAATCTAACTGGGGTTGGCATAGAAAACAGGCGTTAAAATTAACGGGAGTTAAATGGTTTTTCAATTTACAAAAGGCAAAGGCTGAGACGAAACAAGATTGCACCTAGGGCCACCATCCCATGCATCTCTGATGGATAGTTTGGGGTTAAATATAGGCTAGATGACTTCTGAGATACTTCTACAATGATTTGACACTTTGCCCGAACTTCCACTGAATTACTTTTCAACAACAAAATGGAGAAACGACCTTTTAAGGTTGTTGCACAAGGTGTCAGAGGGGATTTGTACGCGTATTTCTTTTCATGTGATCTTTAGTTTGGTTTACGCTGGTTTTTGGGCCAAAAATGTGTACAAAATCAATTAGTTGTGGCAATGATTTTCTCCAACAAATTGGCATGCCATTTTCAGTGAGTTTTAAGGGGAAAAATGTCCTTGAAAATATTAGGGAGGGCTTGGATACTCTTGACTTCTGCAAAGACTCCCAGCATTCCAACATTCCTGATAATAATCTTCAATGCCAGAACCTTTAGCGGAAGACACTATGATAATAAAATGTTTATTATAGAGAAACTCTATTAATTCTTGTAATTCTGTTGAACATTATCAATTGAGCAATTCATTATGATCGCATGCAGCCTGCCATTCTTAATGAGCAAACGCCGCTAACTCAATGTCATTTGCATCACCCCAGCAGCAATGAAAAAAAAAAAACAAAAACATTGTCAATAGTTAATAATGGAAAGGAGTCAAACAGCCAAAGTCGAGAACCGAATCGCCATTAAAATCACGTTAAGCAGGCAACTGGCAGAAGGTAGGAGGCAGGCCAGGCCATTACGACCATCACTTCTGATTTTGAATAGAATCCAATGTTAATTTTACATGAACTACTCATACCATCGCTGGATCACTGGATAGAGATACCATTATGGCAGGCCTTAGTGGAAAATTTCGTGGGAATATTTGTGACTGCGATTATTTAAGCATTTTTGCGCTACACCAAAACCATAATCGCAGGCCCAATGAATCGGCATCGGCATCTGCATCAGCATTTGCTGCCTTCGTGTGGAGAAGGAAGCAGAAGTTGCTTCCAAGATGAGTCCAAGAAGAGGGAGGAAGCCTCAGCCTCAGTCTCAGCATCAGCATCGGCTGTATCCAAAAACCAAACGAAAATCAAACAAAATTATTATGCAATCGAGTCGATCGCTCGCCAGGTTCCCTCCTGTTTGTGGGCCCCGCAAAGAAGCTGGACAAAAATCATCATAAAAACTGTCCACTGTCAACTCCTCAGCTGTCTTCCCTTTTGCCCCATTGTTTTGTGGTTCACAAACACATAAAAAAAACAAACAAAATCAAACTCAGCCAAGAAACAAGAAACGCCTCAAGTCAAAAAGTCGTCACTGCGAGCATTTCGAATCTTTAATTTGCGATGTTTTTGTGTGCTCTGCCTTCCACGGGCGGGCAATCGAGCAATCGAGCAGTCGACCCACAGACCCCCCACCCCCACTACAGGGAGGCCAGGCCAACTCTTCGTTGGAAACCCTACAAGTGCTTCCCCTTCCTCATTAAGCGCTGATGGATTTTCAAACTGTCATCCCGCTGATTGATTGAAATCTATTTCAATTGAATGTGATCAGCATTTAATGCAATTGTGATATTTATGCAATTTTATGGGAAATTATGAGAAAGCGGGTTAATCTTTTAAGATTTTGACATATCCAAGACAACAGCCCTAATTGACACACAAATTATTTTGAGCAATTAGATGGGTCCCTTTACTTTATTTCTGTCTATTTGGCTTAAATGGTAATATGAAGGTTCTTGAACCTTGAAAGAGCTATTCAAATATCTCTTTTCTCATAAACTACTTCTAAATACTTTCTATGTTCTGTTCATTTACTACCAATAGTCTCCAAATATCCATCTTTTTATTATTTTTATTTGCACGCATTGGAGGCCACACCTAGTAGAACATTTATACATTAAAAGTACACAACCAAGTCGTATATCATTCTTTTATAATTAATTATTCTTAAATAAATCATTATTAAATCTATTTATAGCTTAATTCGTATAAAACACAGTGATATAAAAATGAATAGCTACACAGGTAAAAATACGAACGCTGTTCTCTTCCTAAAGATGAATTCCAAAGCTTTGCTACATACTCATTACACGTTTGAAACCAACAATTAAATAAAATATTTCAAATTTAACAGCTACCTTGACAGCAGTACCCGAACCGCAATGTTAAGCTTTAACAGTCGTAAAGCCTATAGCTCTGTTAAGCTTCGGTTGTCTGCCGAACGCTATCTATCTCTCTCCTCTCTCTTCCGCTGCGACCGGTTGCAAAGGCATTTTGTGTTTGGTTTTTGTCTTTACGGCTGCTGCTGCTTTTGGGCTTTGAGGAAGATGTGGCAAAGATCTTCGTTTTGCGGTACGACGACGGGGCGCCCGCCGACGATGACTCTGATCTCTGCCTTTGCGCCGCGGCTTTGAGAGCGTTTTTCGCTAAACAGAGTTTCGAGTCCGGGGGCCCCACGAACCGCTCAACTACTACTAAAGTTGGACGCCGCATTTGCCAATTGAAACATTCAAATGTGAATATCGTACGGGTGAAGACGTCTTCTGTTCGTCTGGCTCCGACTCTGGCTCTGAGATCCCTCGTACTGTATTTTGTAAAAATAATTTTATGTGGATAACAATCTTAAAAAGTGATTCAAGTGATGGAATTTTTAAACATTTTGTGTTCATAAAAGATAATTTTTTACAATTTTTTAAGGAAGAAAATAATGAATTTTTAAAGGAACTTACGATAAAGCAAAGGATTATAAAACATACAAAAATATAAAAAATCACTTCAAGTTTTTCACAGTCTTTACCATCATCTACTGCTAATGAACTTGGCCCAAATCCCCAGATTACCCATTAAATTAAATCAATTCCCTTTTTTCCACTGTGGGATTACCAAAAAAATTGCTCCTAATGATATATTCATACCGCTGACATGATGAAAAACTTGAAGTGATTTTGTGCTGCCAGCGAGAAAAACCATCAACTAAATCGTGATATCTGTGCATTATAACATAATTCCTCTCTAGCCCGAAACAAATAATACACCAAATAATCGACAATAGTGAGACAACATTGCCACAACAGTTACACGAAAAAGTGCAACATTATAGCTAATATTCACAAGCGAAACAGAAAACAAACACAAAAAAAAAAAACACATCAACTTGGAGAGCGGAAAACTTTGTCATAAATAAGTTTATAGCTAAACCTACATATTACTTCCATCACGAAACCGAAAGCAGCAAAAAGGAAGCTGTGGAAGATTGAGTTGCTGCCACAGTTACTGCCTCAGTTACTGGCGAGTTTTGCTGCCACACAAACTGACATTCAGAGCACCGCTGCCACTGATGCCGCTGATGCCGCTTAAAGGTGAGTGAGGCGCTGAACCCCTGAATACTGAATGCGTTTGGGCCAGGAATTCCGACAGCTCCACAGATCGACAGCTGAATGGCCAGCTTCTAATAAAATGCCAAACGCATTTCGTACGCATGAATGGACAAAAATTATGTACATCTCCTTTCACAAAAACCTCATCCTACTTAGATTTATTGTATACATTTTCTACTTAATTTTATTACTTGTTTTTGGCCGACTCGCCAGAGGCAAAGCACCAATAATGCCTGCTAAAATGTCAATGTGTTGGTTAAATATTGGACAGACAGTTTTTTATGGTGGCTCTTGTACGGCTATAAGTTATGCAAGTCCCCGACCACTTGCCGCTTGTCTAAGATGCACCATAGGCCAAGATACAAAATTTCAACTAAATTATGATACTTGACCAAGATTTTGAAAAGTAAAAGGAAGTGAAGGCAAATTCTTAGAGGTATTCCATTTGAATATCTTTAGAAAAAGTTGAGTTTCAGGTTCCACAGAAGTACTCTTCTAAATAGCTACGTTTTTTGTAGCTCGTAAAAATAGATTTTTTTGAAATGTAGTACATTGGATGGCACTTAAGATACGACTTTAAGAACCATCTTTGGATTGTATGAAGGAAAACATGCAGTAGATAGATATCTATCTGTGAGATCTTCCGAGCTTTTTGTGGGTGCCTTCCTTCAGGAACGCAAACAGCATATCCCTTGACTCTAATCCTAGGGAATCTGCTATACAATACTCTATTCTCCCGTGACAAGACCTTGTAAAAACCAATCCAGGAAGACTACAACAGAACACAAAAAACGTTTGTTGTCAAACATTTTTAATTAAAAGTCGAATAACTTAATTAAGTTGGCACACAAAGTCCATCAAAGTCATTACAATTAAAACAATTAGCATTAGCTTTGGCTTAGCTTCTTGTTTTCTTCTTAATCAACGTAAATATTAATCGGTTCTAGGCGAATGAAATGATGGACAATTTCCATAAATTTTGCATTCGCCAGGGGCGACTTTTGGCTCGATGATTAATTTGCAAAATTGTTGGTTACCATAGATGAATAGATACAACAATTAAAAGCCACGCAAAAGCCTCAAAATGCCGGCATGCATTTCGGTTGTTTTTTTTTTGTTGTGTTTTTCTAATTTTTTTCTACTGCATAAATTTTGTGTTGCAAAATTTGCAACCACAATTGTTGCCTAGTCTTGGCATTGTTATTAACGAATCTAAGATAATGCTGGGTGGCTCAGTGGCTGGGCTGAGCACACAGGTCAAGGATGAACGCGGCCCCAGTAGCACTCAGAATATAGACCCTTGGAATTGGGGGAGGAGTGCTGTGGCTGTTGCAGCTGCAAAGAGTTTTTCTGGTTGTTTTGTGTTAGATAATTCCAATTGGTGTGCACTCTGTGATTACAGGGAGAGAGACCCACAGAAAGTAGTGCAGGGAATTGGGAAATGCGCGCGCCTTAAATGTCAAGAGGTGCCACAGTTTTGTTTTCTTCTTGTCTCGTGGCGCAAATGAACAAAAGAAAAGCGAGCCGGGCCAAAAGAAAAGACAAAATTTAGGCCAAATGTGTGACTTAACCGTCTTTCACATCACATCACATCCACCCACTCACACCTACACCTACCTATATACCTATAACAGGGTCGGGTCGGAAGAAAACAAGGGCCAGGGATAGGGATGTGTATGTACGTACACTCGTACTTTGTGTTTTATGTGGCAGGGGGTTAAAGTTGAATGGGGAGAGACCGAAACGAGTCTCCCCAGCCGAAAGGCAGCTGGAAAATAAACCAAAATGTAACAAAATGAATGCTACAATATAATTTTTGCCTGTTGTTTCGTCTGTCCCAGTCTGCAGATGGCCAGATAAAAGTTCAAAATGCGAATGGTTGTTGTTGTTGTTGTCTTAACCGGGTCTAAGTCTACGTCTGGGCACCGGGCCCTGGTCTGGTTCGGATCTTGGCCAGGTCTGGTCTGCTCATTAACGTTTTGCCAGCGAAAGAAATGGCAAATAAATTAAAAAGCCATTCAAGCAACAATACCCTCAAAAGGAGGATGAATCCCTCTCTGTCTCTCTCTCTCTCTCTCTCTCTCTCTCTCTGTCTGTGTCGTTGCACAGGGAAACTAGTTGGTGTAGTTTTGTTGGTGTAACTCCTATTGGTATTGTTGATATTTCTGGTATTCTAATTTTTGTTATTGGAATTGTTGGTATTTTTATTGTAATTGTTACAGTTGGTGTTATTACTGTTGGTATTCATTTTGGTGTTATTTCTGTTGGTATTGTTGTTGAAATTGTTGTTGTTGTAATTGCTATCGATGTATCTTGTACTCCATTCCAAGTGTTGATGCGTTAACTGGCGCTGCGTGCGCATCGCTGAAAACCCAATGAGCCGCAACTGAAAGACGAAACGAAACGAGATGAGACGAGCCAAGACGCCGTGGAGCCCCCAAGTAAAAGTACCCCACAACGATTCCTTGTAGACAACACCACACAAACAACCTTACAATAGCTGTTGTTGTTGCTTGCTGTTGTTTTTGTTAGACCATCTTTAGTGATTAATGAAGTGTAAATAATGTTGATGTTTTGTATTGTTTTTTTTTCGAAGCAACCTCATGATTTCAACATACATATTCTAGGCGGACTTAGTTGGGGTTTTTCCTCCGGCTTAATGCTGCGATCTATCATCACCTCAGTGCCTGTTCTTAAGGTGTTCATCGAGGGAGCTTATTGTGGCAACAGCAGCAGCAGTCGCTGTAAAAACAAAAGACTTTGACAACGAACTTGCTGCTGGCCGCAAAAGCATAAAACTGCAGATAAAAACCTCAGCTAAACCTTAGTTTTTGTGTGCCGTATTGTCATTTGGCCAAATGTCAGCCAAGTGCACTACAGTCATAAATAAACCATTTGTCAATGTTTTCAACAGTTTCGGTTTTTCGTGGTCACACAAAAAACCGTTGAGAGAACGAACTTGAACTTTTTGAAAAGGAATTGTATTGATAGTGTAATGGGACCCGATGAAAACAGTGCTGAAGTGTTGAAACAATAACTTAAGCTGTGGAAAACGGTACATGCCTGAGGCTTTTCCTCGAAGCAATGATAATTTGAAATGCCTATAAGCTCTTCCTTAATCATAGTTATCCACTCGAATGCGTAAACTGTTCAATTACATCATGATTTTAAATATGATCATCAAAGCAACATTTACCAGCTAAATGCCAGCTGTGCTATCGCTGGAGATTCTGAAATTGCTGCCACAAACGACACACGTGCGTCGCGAATTGCGCGTGGCGTTTGTCAGCCTTTAACGGATGGACTCCGGCATAGCCATAGCCATAGCCAACTTTGATATATGGCCCCAGAGCCAGTCGGCAGGAGGCTAAATGTCAGGCCGAAATGCTGACCTCCATGGCCTGACAGGCAACGTTTAGGCCATTTTAGGGCTGCCTGTTGAATGGCATTTTGATCTGCATCCACGGCTGCATTGGCCCCCACATGAACTTCGTTGCAAAGAGCTGCCAAAATTGGCAATTGAAAGGCATTCATTGGCTTATATATCACTTTTATAGCTTGAAACTCTTTGAGTGCTTCAATTTGGTTTCGGTTGTGAAAAAATGTTGTCTCAAAGATTTGTGTTGGGCATCAGTTCTGAGGTGAAACAAATGCAATTCTGAAGAATTAAAATTCGATTTGAATAGCAAATAATCTTAATTATCGCTGTGCCATATTCCCATTCAGCGAAACATTGAATAAGCGGCTAAATTTCAGCACGCATTTAGCCATCTCCCAGAACGAGTTTTCTATTGCGCTTTCTTTGATTGTTTATCTTAGTTCAGAGTTATAGATATTTTATATGAGTATTTTACAGCTGCTGGAGAACTTGTTTCCAGCATATTCCGATTTATATTTGTTTTCGTTTTGCTTGGGGCTTAGGCAGGATCTAAATTGGTCAAATGATATCATATGGGGGTTTGTTTGGGTAAAGGATGCTCACCGAATACGATCAGAAAACAGGTTGTTCCATAGATGATTCATAAAGTTTATATGCATAAAATATGAAGACACTAATGTGTTTTATAAATAGGTGTCAGTCAAGGCTAGAATCTCGAGTTGCCGTTCTCACAGCGGGACGGTTGGGCCATAAAATTATGATCGAAAAATGTATTATTTCCCACTGAGATTAGGCCATTAAAAGCTGCCATCATTCAACGTCTTCTAAGCGATTATTGCCCATGAAAACAAATAAGAAGAAACTGTCAATAAGCGTGTGTCTATTGGGGCACTACAGATTGATATCAATTTCAGGCAGCCGACAGGCAATTAGAGACGCCTCGATACACACACGCTTACTCTGAGAAATCAAAACATAAATCATTGAAGCCAAAATAACAAATTCCGCATTTAATTCCTTGATATTGTTTGATATTTTCAAGCACAATCAAAATGCTGCTGAAGGCAGCCAAAATGACAAGAGCTTTCAGCAGTCATAATAGTCTATGATACTCGACAAAAAAGGCAGAAAAAACTCTATGATATGTTGAAAACTTGTTGTCGCTTACAGCACAAAGAGTTTTGGTGGATGTCAAAGTCAAGTTCGTTACCTGAGTCTTTTGTTGAAATCGTTGTCTAGAATCGTATAATGGAGCTATGATTAGTTTAATATCTCCAACTCTTAGTTTATCGTTGGAAAAAGCAAACAAAAAATGTAATTTTCCTAGCCATTTCCGCTTGAACTCTTACCACTGACACGCTGAACAGAAACCAAAACCGAATCGTAAGAAAAACCAAATCAAAAGTGACTTTCATTTACGTGGCTGCGGCACACACAAACAAGAAACAATTACTCCTCCAGACAATAAGCGACTAATTCGCAGCTTCATTTCAGTTAGGGGCTAACATATACACGTACGTATATGTATGTATGTATGTATGTATATGGATATGTATGTATAAACAGAGACTGCATAAAGATGAGTGCAAGCTGAAGTAATCAT